GAATCACAAGCTGGACTCGACTGCTGGGAGAAATATCAAAAGCCTCAGATATGCAGATGATATCACTATAATGGCAGAAAGTGAAGAGGAACTAAAGAGCTTCCTGATGAAGGTGAAAGAGGAGTGAAAAAGCTGGCCTAAAACTGAACATTCAAAAAACTAAGATCCTGGTATCTGGTCCCATCACTTCATGGCAAATAGAAGGGGAAAAGTGGAAGCAATAACAGATTTTATTTTCTTGGGCTCCAAAATCAATGCATGTGGTGACTGCAGCCATGAAATTAAAAGATGTTGCTCCTTGGAAGGAAAGCTATGTCAAACCTTGACAGTGTATTAAAAAGCAGACATCACTTTGCCAACAAAGGTCCATAAAGTCACAGCTTTGGTTTTTCCAGTAGTCATGTACAGATGTGAGTTGGACCATAAAGAAGGCTGAGCACAAAAGAATTGATCATTTCAAATTGTGCTGGAGAAGACTCTTGAGAGTCCCTTGGACTGCAAGGAGATTAAACCAGTCAATCCTAAAGGAAATCAACCCTGAATATTCATTGGAAGGACTGATGCTGAAACAGAAGCTGCAGTACTTTGGCCACTTGATGCAAAGAGCTGACTCACTGGAAAACACCCTGATGCTCTGAAAGATTGAAGGCAGAAGGAGAAGGGGGCAGCAAAGGATGAAACGGTTAGACAGCATTATTGATTCAGTGGACTTGAATCTGAGCACACTCTGGGAGGCAGTGGGGGACAGAGGAACTTGATGTGCTGCAGCCCATGGGGTGTCAGAGTCCTGCACAACTTAGCAACCAAATAGCAATATATTTGATTACATTCTCAACACTGTGAATTTTACCTTAGGTGCTAGATATTTTTGCTTTCCTACAAATATTCTTGAGTTTTGTTATGGAACATAACTAAATTAAACTTAGAAATGGTATGATCCTCTTGAGTCTTGCTTTTAAACATTACTTAGATGGGACCAGAACGTTATTTAAACTAGGGTTAACTCTTTCATAATACGAACACAAGACCCTTTGTTTTTATCCTCAGTGTTTTTTTTTTTTTTAAACTTACTTTGTATTGGAGTGTAGCTGATTAACAACATTGTGATGGTTTCAGGTGGACAACAAAGGTCCTCAGTCACATATACACGTGTATCCATTCTCCCCAAACTCGCCTCCCATCCCCACTGCCATGGGACAGGAAGCAGAGTTCCCTGGGTGGTACAGCAGGTCCCTGTTGGTTGTCCTAAAACAAGACCCTTCTGAATACTCTAGCAATCCCAGGAATCATGAGTTTTTCCAGTTTGGCTGGTAGAAACAGGTACTATTCCCAACCCAGGATGGGTTCCCAGGAGTGTTTGTTTGTATTGTTTTGGGGCAGTTCTTTACCTGGCTTTGGATGGTTTCTAATACATGCACTTGCTAATCAGCACTCTGCTGCATACTTGAGGGAAAGCCCCTGCGGATCTCTGGAGTTTCTGTGAGGCTGTCCCCTCTCTGGTTCTCTGACCTGGAGCTCCAGCTGCCCCAGTCTTCCCAGCCTGTCTGCTCCGACTCCTCGGTTTGCTGGTTCCCCTCTCTGCCTTGCAGCTGTCAGACTCTGACCCAGTGAGCTGGGGCCCCTCACTATTTCCCGTCTCTCAGAGATCACTGTCCTTATTGCTGATGTCCAGTGTCTTGGGAACTATTGTTTCATATATTTTGTCCAGTTTTTGGTTGTTTCAAAAAGGAAGTAAATCCAGTACCTGTTATTCCAGTTTGGCTAGAAGCAGATTGTCAGATTAAATCTTAAATGAATATTAATTTTTCAGTTTAATTTTCCAAAACATGGGTTAAAACTTTCTGATATTATCTCCAAGTGCAATTATTTTCCAGGAAGCAAGTCCATAACTTAACGTAAGCAGTACCAGATGATTTTTTTAATCCTTGGCAGCTATTTATAAAACCTGTTGTGACAATATCTTCCTGTTACATGTAAAGCTGTGTTCTAATAAAGATTTAAATTCATAGAGTGTATAGTTGCTGTACATTAATGATCAATTTTTTTCCAACCTGTTATCTTTATCCTCCTCTCCCTGCCAACCAATGGTGATGATATAATGAGACTGGTAATGAGGCATTGTAAATAGTCCATGCAGTCTTTTGGAAAACAAACTGGAACTATATATTAAAAGGCAAAAAAGAAAAAAATGATTATATCCTTCGAGTCATTAACCCCACTTATAGAATTATAGCCAAGGTAAATAAGATACATAAAAGCTATCTCTCTGAAAATGTTATAGTGCTAATATAATGGAAAAGTTGGAAATAATATTTTTTAAAAATTGTACTTGATTTACAATACTGCATTATTTTCAGATGTTCAGCAGTGTTTTTTTAGATTATATTTCATTACAAGTTATTACAAGAAACTGAATTTCCTGTTATACCGTAAATCCTTATAGATTATCTGCTTTTTGTATAGTAGTTTGATCTGTTAATTCCATATTCCTAATTCGTACCCCCCCTTCCCTTCCTCTCCCCTTTGATAACTATATGTTTGTTTTCTGTGTCTGTGAGCCTGTTTCTGGTTTGTATATAGATTCATTTGTATTATTTTTTACATCCCACATATAAGTGATATCATATAGTATTTGTCTTTACCTGACTTACTTCATTATAATATTTCTAGGTCCACACCTGTTGCTGTAAATGGGAATATTCCATTTTTTTGGCTGAGTTATATTCCATTGTGTGTATGTGTCTTTTGAGCCAGTCACGCAGCGATGGGCACCTTGGTTGCTGCTGTGTCTTGCTATTGTAAACAGCGCTGCTGTGAACATTAGGGTACACATATCTTTTAAAATTAGAATTTTTGTCTTTTTTCATTTTTGTCTTTTATTTATCTCCAGATAATTATCCAGGAGTTGGATTACAGATCATATGCTAGCTCTATTTTAGTATGTTAAGGAACCTCCAAACCTCTTTTACATTGTGGCTGGACAAGTTTACCTTCCCACCAAAGAGTAGGGAAGCCCTCTTTTCTCCACACCCTCTCCAGCATTTTCAGACCTTTTTAATGATGGTCACTTTGAATAGTGTGAGGTGATACCTTACTGTGGTTTTGACTTGCATTTCTCTAATAAAGAACAATGATGAGCATCTTTTCACGTGCACGTTGGCCATCTGTATGTCTTCTTTGGAAACATGTCTGTTTAGGACTTCTGCCCATTCTGTGATTGTGTTGTTTCTACAGTATTGAGTTTTAAGAGCTGTTTGGAGATTTTGGATATTAACTCCTTGTTGGCCGCATCACTTGCAAGTATTTTCTTCCATTCCTTATGTTGTCTTTTTATTTTGTTGATGATTTCATTTCTGTGCAAAATCTTTTTATGTTTGATCAAGTCCCATTTGTTTATTATTGCTTTTATTTCTTTATTGCTTTGGGAGACTGATCTAAGAAAATATTGCTACAATTTATGTCAGAGAATGTTTTGCCTATGTCCTCCTCTAGGAATTTTATGGTGCCATATCTTACATTTAGATCTTCAAGCCATTTTGAGTTTATTTTGTATATGGTATGTGGGAGTGTTCTAATTTCATTGATTTACATGTAGCTGTCCATGTTTCCCAACATCACATGGTAAAGACACTGCCTTTTCTCCAGTGTCTATTCTTACCTCCTTTGTTGTAGACTAATTGACTATATGTGCATGCGTTTATTTCTGGGGTCTGTTCTGTTCCATTGATCTATATATCTATTCTTAATGTCAAAATAGGTACCCAGTAAAAGGTTTTAATATCCAAAATATATTAAAAAAATAGCTAAAAAACAGCAAAGAAACCCAAACAATCCAATTTGAAAATGAGCAAAGACTTGCATAGATTTTCTCCAAAAAGATTTATAGATGGCTAATAATGAAAATCATTCAGTATCAGTAGCTATTAGGGAATGCAAATCAAAACCACAGTGAGATACCACTTCATACCCATTGTGCTGAGTCGCTTCAGTTGTGTCTGACGGTCTGCAACCATGTGGACTCCAGCTTGCTAGGCCTCTGTCCATGGGGCTTCCCAGGCAAGAATACTGGAGTGGGTTGCCGTGCCCTCCTCCAGGGGATCTTCCCGACCTAGGGATCGAACCTGCATCGCTTCACGTCTCCTGCATTGGTAGGCGGGTTCTCTACCACTAGTGCCACCTGGGAAGCCCTCATACCCATTAGTATTGCTATTATAAAAACACAGAAAATAACATCTGGTAAGATATGGAAAAACTGGAATTCTTGAGCATTTCTAGTGGGAATGTAAAATGGTGCAGCTACTGTGGAAAACAGTCCCTCAAAGTGTTAAATATATTATTACCATGTAACCTAGTGATTCCACTTTTAGGTTTATACCCCAAAGAACTGACGCAGGGACTCAGACACTTGCACATCAGTGTTCACAGCAGCAGCATTCACAACAGCCAAAAGGTGGAGACAACCCAAATATCCATCAAGAGATGAATGGATAAACAGTGTTACATGGCTATATATCCATGGGCCATAAAAAGGAAGGAAATTCTGGTATATGGAACATGGACGAACTCTGAAGACTTCATGCTAAGTGACAGGAGCTAGACACCAAAGACCAAACCCTGTATGAGCCCACTTGTATGAGGTACCCAAGCAGTCATACTCACAGAGATAGAAAGTAAATGGTGGTTCTCAAGGCCTGGAGATGGTATTGTTTAACGCGTGCAGAATTTCAGTTTGGGCTGAAAATAAATTCTGGGGATGGATGGTAGTGATGGGTGCACAAAACTGGAATTGTACTTAAAGCCACCGAACCATATACTTAAAAATGGTTAAACGAAAAATTTTGTTACGTGTATTTTACCACAGAAAAGTATACATCTTTATTAGATGTGTATATATGTAAGTATGTGTACACATATATGTACCTCGTTAGTAACTCACATTTCAAAAGAGTAGCATGAGGAGTGCTGATCAGCCATCACACCTGCTCCCCTTTTTCCCCCAGGAGTGACGCACGCGGCCATCTGGGCGGCCTGCATTTCTTATCTCAGTGCCGCGGTTCCCCCTGAGCTGAGGACGTCTGCTCAGGGCATCCTGCAAGGCCTTCATCTGGGTTTGGGGAGAGGCTGTGGTGCCATGATCGGAGGAGTGTTAGTCAACTTTTTTGGTAAGAATGGCTTGCTTTCTTTCCCTTTCTTCTTTGATGAAACCTTACAATTTTTCAGCAACACCTCCATAAACACTCAATTATCACTGAAGATTGCCAGAAGCTAGACTCTCGTTTTCACATTCTTTTTCTAGCTTTCACAGTAGTCAGAATTGCAAAGCAGTGTGCTTCAGTAGTTAAGATGATTACAGCAGACAAACAGTTAACTGCAGTGCTACACAGATACCTCAGAGGAGCCAAACAAAGGAATAAGCCCACGTGCTTTTGGTTTGAAGTGCCCTAAACCTGTTGATGATAATGCTGGAGAAAAGATAATTCATCACTGTTTTTCCATCTGGCTTTGGTCATGTCCCTGCATCTGTGATAACAGTCTGTTTGCTCCATCAGTTCCCCCTTACTGGAAATACAGGGGCCGAGGTGGAGGTGGGATTATTCTGCTCCAGGATCTTGACTAGTCAGTCATCTATAGAAGGTAGGCTCAGAGATGTCTGAATTTATAGCACCTATTAAACTTGGCTGTTTTAACTACAGATTAATAGGACTGTTTAATAGGTGGATGGCCTTTATGAAGAGGAGAGCCCAGTGCATTTTAAAAAGGCATTCAGAGACAGCCCTTTATTTTATAAATGCAGTTTGAAAATCTGATCAATGACAGATATCCAATACCAGCCCTTGGGTCTCTCGACAACTCCGCAGACCTGTGTTTGTCCTTCGGCATGAAGCCAATGGCCACTGGCCGTTCTCCACTCTGCTGCCTTTGTCAACTTTAGAACATCGACAGGTCTGGGTGAGGGCTACCCGCCTTTCCAGGAATTGCTGTCCAAAGTGTCGGCTGTTTTCACAGGGGCTGCTGCAACCTTCCGAGGAATTGGCATGGCCTGCCTGGTGATCCTCCTGCTCTTTGCCCTGATCCAGTGGCTGGCAGTACCAGATGAGGAAGAAGGTAGACATGCTCACTGGTCCTTAATGGTTCCAAAGGCTGAAGCCAAGGGGAGTTGTGCACACCCCCCTGAGAAGCCCAGAGGTGGGAACAGCAGGGTACCGCCGACCCGCATGGCCCTGAGCTCCTGCGCAGCATGGCTGCAGACGCCACTTGCTGTGTTGAAAAGAATACCGGTTGTTTAAATAGCTTGGGGTTTTCTTCCTTTTGTTTTGTCTTATGGTACACGGTACTGGGGAAAGTATTGGTTTTAAATTTCTCTGGTATTCTAAAGAGATTTAAATTTTAAATACATGAAGGACTATACCGTAATTTTACTATTAGGGATAGGAAGTGGTATTAATCTCTGCACCTCCATCTGGGAAAAAAAAAAAAAAAGCCTAAACGTTAATTTAAAGTTTTCCCTTAATCAGGCATGAGTGAAAGTGGTAGCTGCTCAGTTGTATCCAACTCTTTGCGACCCCATGGACTGTAGTCCACCAGGCTCCTCTGCCCATGGGATTCTCCAGGCAAGAGTACTGGAGTGGGTTGCCATTCCTTTCTCCAGGAAATCTTCCCAACCCAGGGATTGAACACAGGTCTCCTGCAGTGCAGGCAGATTAGGTATAGACCTCATTAAAATTATTATACAGCAAGAAGGTTATATCCAATATAATATGTGGATGAAAACAAGTTTTCAACTTATTTGGGCAATCAACTTTTAAGTTTTTTTTGGATGAAGAAGGCCAACCATTAAAACAAATATTCTTTCTCAGCTCTTGAGTCTTGGAACAGGCTTATCTTCTATGGTGTCTTGTCCTTTGAGGAGCATTTGCCTCAAGTACTCAAAGTGCTTCTATTAAGAGAAAAACTAACTTGTACAGAAACCCCAGAGACAGATTTTAATTCCAAGTTACTCAGAAAGAAAGACCAATACTGACTTTTCTCACTCTTGTTCTTCCATAATCCTAACCAGATCATCTCTCTTACATAGCTTGGTCCACGCCTTCAGTAAAAGTCTAATAAAAGCATCTGTCATGTGATTTTCCTGTTTTGATGCTTATCTTTAAAATTTCAGTACTGTAAGTGGGCCGAAGCTATAACCCATGCCCCACAAATATGATATACTGATACATTAACAATGTATTTCATAAATATGTTAACATCTATTAGGCTCTGTAAGGAGACCTGGAAGGCAGACATCACATTCATTTGCTCAGTAATCTCTCCCAGGTAGAGGTCACCCTTGCTACACAGCAACTTGCTGACATTCCCAAGCACACTAGAATGGGCTTATCGAGGTTGTCTGTTTAGTTTTTACTATTTACATATATGCGTCTGTTTAAATATGTAGAAAACTGACAAATGATTTAAACGCGATTTTCTCTGCAGACAAGACGATGTTGGCAGAAAGGATCCCTGTCCCCTCTAGCCCTGTTCCCATAGCAACCATCGACTTGGTCCAACAACAGACAGAAGATGTTATGCCACGCACTGAGCCCAGGCTTCCACCCAAGAAAACCAAGCACCAGGAAGAGCAGGAGGATGTGAACAAGCCAGCCTGGGGCGTCAGTTCGTCCCCCTGGGTGACCTTTGTCTATGCACTCTACCAGATTAAAGAGATGATGCAGCTCACGAGAGACAACCGTGCTTCTGAGACACAGCCTCTGCAGGTAAGGTCCTCTGCTGGTCCCCCGTAAGCAGGCCTGGTGGTTTCAGGACTTTCTGACGGGTGCTATAGAGGTGTATACGAGATCTCAGAGGGAAAATTCTGCCTTACACAGGTCAGAAAGGCCTCACAGAGAAGACAGTACTTCTTGAAAGAAATTCATTCTGATTTTCTGTATTTCTTTAAAATGTCTCTGTTGATGGACACCAGTTACTGTGTGGATATATGGTTCTTGCCTTGGTGGATTACATATATTAATCTCTAATTTAGAAATTCTAGTGGGGCCTTTCTATATAGTAGTACCTTAGTAAACATCTGATGAATTAGTGAGTACTCTGAGCCACTGCAGGGGTCTTATAGGATACCCAACTGAGTGGACTGTGGATTTGCTGGTGGGCTCACCTGAAAGACAAAAAGTGTGGGTTTTCTTATCCTTAGAGTTGTGGTCTCTCCTGAGTAGAGTTGAATCACATGGATAAAACATTGTAGGTAACTGTCACTGAAGCTATATTAATACTTTTGGAAAATAATTAAGTGTGACTTCTATGAACAGTTTAGCCAAAGTAATGAGTCTAACGTCCCTGTGTTTTTTTTAATCAAATCATTCTCTTTCACGGGATCAATCATGTCAGTTTTATATCTAGAGCAGTTTCAGAGGACACAGGAGGAAAAAAAAGGAGAAAGACTTAAAGAGTAATGTGATAATTTCTTTACTTTGAAATACATTAATTAAATTTATCACAACTTTGTAAACTAACATAATACTTCTGTAGCTTAAACCAAATCTGATTCTTTGCTGGTAATGTCTAGTCCATGTATGACCTTACTGGTCTATTAAGATAGTAAACTCATGCACATCTTCTGCTCACAAGTCAAGAGGGAGGGTAAGAAGGTGGGAAGAGCGGATGGGGGGGAAGTCGGAGGAAAGAGGGGGGCTTCTGCCCAAATGGCAGTTTTCATACTTCGGACACAGCCTCATTTTCACAGAAGCCTGTGAGGCTTAAGCATCATTAAACATTTTTTTCTGTTATATTAAGGTTAATTAAAACTAGCTGGTATAACTTCTTATAAAGAAGTCATCATGATTTTTTCTTTCACATTTTAGAATCAATTAAAAAATAAAAGTTTTTTTTTTTTCCTTGGTCCTCAGCTATTTGAAGTGATGGGTATTAGTTCAGAGGGCAATCCATTAAAGAAAAACAAAAACATTATTTTCTGATTTTCAGAAATTAGGAATGTGGTATTTTACAGACATGGTGTAGATGATGTTCTGGAGTGATAGGTACTTCCTCAAACCAATTGGTTACATAGGTGCTTGTTTACCTTTTTTTACATGGATATTCTGTCTTATTTGTTTAGTTAAATATAGATCAGGATTCTTCATTTTAGGACCTTTCTTTTCCTGGTACCATCTCCAAGGCTGAGAATGCCTTCCTCACTCCGTTAGACAAGGTGCCTTCCAGCCTTGAATGCTCTGGCCTCAGCAAATGGCATGAGTTTCCATTCCATGCTGCTCACCCAGTGACCTGCCACAGTGGCCAGCGGGGGCCCAGTAAACATTTGCTGATGTAGACTATTTTCCTAGGAGTAACAGGCATTGTGGTAGTAATGTATCCTTTATCCACAAGATACATCTGCTTATAGTGTTTATGTTTTTCATGCGGCTTTGGCAGTTGCACATAGGAAAGGAGATGAAAGGTAAGCCGTTCCACCCTTATTCCTCCATTACTTGTTTCCTGAAGTAGTCGCTTCAGGATGATCTCCCCATGTTTCCTCTATCTCACCTGAAAGCATATAAAAAGTTTGCTAGCACTGACTGTAGGGCACATCCTATCTTTACCTTCCAGGGGACCAGTGAGAATCAGAAAAATTCTCCAGCTGGTGGAGCCCAGCCTGGACCATGTGAGGCTCCCCCTGACCCGCCCAGAAGCCAGCCATCCCCTCCAGCAGCCGCATCTCAGACGCAGAGCAGCCCTGCTCACCCCAGTGTGGACCCGCGCACAGAGGAGAGTAGTGGGGACCGCCAGGCTCTGCCTGCCGCTGGGGGACACTGAGGCGTCCCACTCACTTCACGCCCTGCATGGAACCGGGCTCCTCTGCCAGGACGCGGGGAGAGGCACCCCGAACCTAGGACACGCCTCACTTGAGGAGCATAGCACCACATACGCTTCTAAACATCTGAACTCATCAACATGGAGACACTCACACGCACACGAGCTACAGTACATATTGGCAGAAACAGGTCACCTCCACAGCCCCACGGGAGTCACAGGAGGAGAACGGAGCTCAGTGAGGCCTGTGTAGGTTGAGGACCACAGGACTTCTCTGCCAGGGCAGTAAGAGCTGGAACCAGCAGTTACACTAAATGGGTGAGGGAAAAAAGTGTTTCAAGGTGAATGCTGATATAAGTTCCCTCTTCTGATTATTTATTCTAATTATTTGGTTCTTAATGCAAACTGGGAAGAAACAGAATACATCTATAATTTTGTTTCTTTTAAAAAGAATCATTTAAAAGTTATAAGACTTATTTTTAAAATAACCAGATAAAAGTTGGTAGCATCTATGCTTTTGTTTAATAAGAAAAAAAAGGAAAAAGTTTCATGAGAAACTCGGGATATCTCTAGGAAATATATTTTTATATGTGTATGGTATATAATGAAAATAGTCAATTCTTGGAGCAGCAAAAGCTGTTACTGACCACTGCAAGCTAAGCTGAGCTTTAAAATGCCTTCTGTTTCAAATGGGCTTTAAGACCAGAGGAAGGAATATTTGAAATAAACCAACCAACTCAGTATGCTGTGGCTTGATAGACAAAGGTTTACTAAATATATTGAAACTGTAAATAGCCTCTATCACTATTTACAGCTTTCTAGTGATTTGGGCTCTAATTAGCTGATGGAATAAAACACAACACAAAATCAGTGAATTCCTAAGGGTTTCTTTTAATTAAGCAGTACTACTTACAAATAAGTGCCTGGGGGACGGATAAAATTTTTTTAAATTACATAATGGCTCAGTTTTTGTTTTGTTTTTGGTGAGGGGAAAAGGTGGTGAACAGGAAGCCAGGAACGGAAAAGACAGAAATAGGAAGTTAAGTACACTTTCCAATGACTTACGACACAAATATCAGTCTATTCTCTCCCATGAAGACACAATCAGACACTGGGCAATTCAGGTATGAGCACACTACTGTAAATGCTACAGTCAGGACAGTGGCCAGGTTACTTATGCATAAAGCTTGCTGCTGAAAATGAAAGTCGAGATTACAGGAAGCCTTGGGGGAGGGCTGTGGACCAGGGAACACTGCTTCCCTGGTTATGCAGTGTGTACGATACTGTGGATGAGCACGGAGGAGAGGAAAGAACAGGGTTAAAAATGAAGAACTCACCTTACTCTCTGACCCTAATTAGGCAGGACCAACTGTAAAGTAAGGGCTTCTCCACGACACCATACTTCTGCCCACAACAGCGTCTGGGAGAAGAAACTCTACACTTGGATATCTAGCTTCACCACAGAACACAGCTTAAAAATAAAATAATGGGAAGGAATAGAATTAAGCAAAGTTATTTTTGCACTTGACTGAAATGTACTGTACTGTAAATTATCATGACTCATTTTAAGTGACCTTTAAAAATCAGATGTATTTATTATGCTTATGTAATTATAGAAATAGAGAGATGGGTGACAGGCTGAACCTCACCTATGAATATTCAGTATGTGGATTTGTGAAACTGACTGTAGGAAGTCAAAAAACTTCTACTGTATCTTGTGTTTACAGTTCTGATTTATTCTTCTGAAAAGCCTGCTGTTTTGGAAATGCACAGTTGACATGTTCAAATAAAAATAAATACCATTTTTAAATATTTCCTAAATGATAATGATGTGACCAAACAAATAAAAGTCCCTCGCTCTGTAATGAATGAAATCAAATTCTACAGGCCTTTATTATGAGACATTTACTGTGAGAGCTGATTCAACAATGCAGTAATTTCCATCCTTTCAGAACAGACACCTTCATGGGTTTGTAGACTTTGTGACTTCTTCCTGTCCTTAAAGTGCCATTAAAAAATATATTAGAGTGCAAATTAAATTTTGATTTGAGAATTTTATAATGCCTTTTGAGATCCCCTGGAAATACCTAGGGAAGTCACAAAGCCCAGGCTGGCAATCACTGCCTTAATGACCTGTTTCACAGTTTTCCCTTAATTGTAGAAAAAGTAAATTACACAAGGTGCTGAGCTCATGTGGGATCTGAAGAGGTTAGTTACGAATTAGTAAACTATTACTCAAAGCCTTCAGTAGAGTAAGAGATGACACTCACACATATACCTCCAACCTCCCAAAAAAACCTCATGAAAAGTCTAAGGAATTCACAGAAGAACATCACAGCCTTACTGGCTTATTCATCTTGTCATGGGCCACAGTTAGCAGAATGCTGGCCAAGTGCTTCCCTCTGATGTGCAGTTCCTCCAAAACTGCCAGGGTGGAGGCTGCCAATGGCGCTGGGACCATTATTTAAGCAGTATTCCTTACAGTCTATCTGGAGTTAGGCAGTGATTCTGGGAGGTTAGTTACTCACAGGAAGCCACACCCATTGTTACAGGGTGCTTGTTGTGTGCTGGTGACCCTGTCATTTTGTCCTTACAACCACCCAAGGTGATAGGTATCACTGTCCCCACTTTAAGTATGAGGATTCTACAGGTAACTCAACTTATGTTATGGGGCCCAGGTCACAAAGCCAGGATTCAAAACTCAAACCCACCTAATGTTCACCCAGGACTTTCCCTGACCCCAGGAGGCAGGGAGGGCTTCCCTGCTTCTGCTGTGGTCAAACGAGCCTGAAAAAAAGCCCTGGTCATTCTGCATGCCCCTTCATGTGCCTGGTACTCACATGCATGGTTGTAGCTCCATTTAGGATCCCTAGATATTCCGGATACGTGGAAGTCCAGCACCTTCAAACTCCGGCTGTTAGTCTCACCTGTTAGTGCCACCCTGGAGATAACTTGGAAGGTTTGGCAACCTGCAGAGAAAACTTGGAGGTCAGCAGGGATCCTGAAGACCGATGCCATGGAGTTGGGAAGGGCCAGCAGACACGGCCACTGCTCAATGTCCTGAGGCAACAGCCTTGTCGAACAGCGCCCTCTAGTGTGGCAGCTGTTAGCCACAGGTGGTCCTCAAGTCGTCGCCACGTGGCTGGTGCATCCGAGGAATTCAATTTCTCCTGCTATTTAAACAGCCACATGTGGCTCCTGGCTATTATGCAGAAACAGAGCGAGAAACCACCTTTGGGAGGTCTCTGGGTCTTAGTTTCTCATCTTCACTGTGAAAGGCTGGACCCTAAAATTAACATTATCTTGTGAAGAGGGATTACGTTACACCACCTCGGGTGGTTGTAAGGACAAAAGGACAAGGTCATCAGCACACGACAAGCACCCTGTAACAATGGGTGTGGCTTCCTATGAGTAACTAACCTTCTAGAATCACCGCCTAACTCCAGATCGACTCTCATGCTGTGACAGAGCTGAATGAAGGAAAGCAAAAGATGATTTTCTCTTCAGAAATTCTTCTGTTCCCAGGTGCAAGAAACCGAGAAAGCTACTTCTGAAGCCCCAGAGCACTCCTGTGAACACCTGGCTCAAGAATCCCAAATCCCCAGGCAGACGGGAGAGAGGCTGGTATCTGGACAGAGAGAGAATAAAGGGGGGAGGGGAAGGGGAAGTGGGCTCTCAAATCACAAAGTGACTTACCTTATGCAAGGACAAACTGTGGTTTAGAATAAGATAGTAGTCAGAAACTTGGTGATGTCCAGAGGGGGAAGATATGAGCCAATGCAGGTGAGTAACTTACTCTCACTCAGCTCCCATCTCCATCAGGTGGCGAATGCAGGCCCACTTACCCCACTGTGGCTCCAGGGAGGTCCCCACTTTCTGACGGCAACTCAAGGACCTTAGCATGCTGGCTGTGGAGCCCCACTGTCTGGATGTGCATCTCACTGCTGCCAGGGAGAACTTACACCTCTAAGTGACTGCCTGTGGCATCAGGGACCTCCTCTGTAAATTTAAGGTGATCACAGCATCTGCCTTACTTTTGATGTTTAATGGCATACCTTACAGTACACACTCCATAAAAATTGCCATCATTTTTGTGTGGCAAATAGACAAGTGCTGCCTCATTTCTCCAATCAAGTCCCAGCTCTCTGAGTATTTTGTGACATTTAAATCCATTGTATGCTCCCAAACTATAGTACTATGTTACATGCTTACCTATACCCAGTAAGCTGTCTAATAAGGCATTCAGTTCCAATATGCATTGTAAACATTAAGTGGTTAGAGATATTAGTTAAGGGATAAAATTAATCAAAACATAAGTTGAAGAGGATGGGGGGATAAATGACAAGTAATGTTATATGCCAACAAACTGGACAACCTAGAAAAAACAAATTTCTAGAAACATACAGCCTGCCAAGACTGAGTCAAGAAGAAACAAGCAATTTGAACAGATCGATCACTAGAAAAGATAGAATCTGAAATAATAAAAACTCCCTGCAAACATAAAATCCAGGACCAGATGGCTTCATTGGGGAATTAAGAGGAATTATATAAAGAGGAATTTATACCAAACATATAAAGAGGAATTTATACCTACCCTTCTCAAGAAAGAATTCCAAAAAATCAAAGACAAAGGAACGCTCTCAAATTCATTCTGTAAGGCCACATTACCCTGAAACCAAAACCAGACAGAGATATTCCAAAAAAAGAAAACCAGAAGATAATCTTTGATGAATACAGATGCAAAAATCCTCAACACAATATTATAACAGCAAACGAAATCCAATAATACATAAAAAGGGTCAAATACCATGATAAAAATGGATTTATTCCTGAGTCAGAAAGATGGTTCAACATACACAAATCAATGTGATATGACACATTAACAAAAGGAAAGGCAAAAACCACATGATCACCTCAATAGATGCAGAAAAAAGCATTTGACAGAATTCAACATTCATGATAAAAACTCATCAGAACAACAGAATAGATACAACAGCAAGAATAAGCAGACACACCAATGTTCATGCAATCATGAACATGCAATGTTCATAAAATCAAGGTATTATTAATAATCGAGTCTCACAGGGAGAGGGAAGAATGAACTAAGCAGTAGACTTTCACACTGAGGACTCAGTAAAGGATCTTTCATTGGCTGAGGCGGGAAAAAACCTCTCATCAAAGTGGTCTGGGAGGGGATATATTAAAACATAATAAAGGCCATTTACTCCAAAACCTACAGCCAGCATAATACTCAATAGGGAAAAGCTGAAAGCTTCCTGCTAAATCCAGGAACAAGATAAGGATGTCCAAGATAGTACTGGAAGTCCCAGAGACAGTAATCACACAAGAAAAATAAAAGGTATCCAATTAGAAGGGAAGACATCAAACTGTCACAATTCACAGATAACATGATACTATACAGAGAACCCTAGAGTGTCCACCCCAAAACTATTAGAACTAATAAATGAATTTGGCAAGGTTGCAGGATGCAAGATTAATGTAATAATGTAAAAATGTTTCTATACACTAATAATGAAATATCAGAAAAAGAAAGTGAAAAAAAAATCCCATTTAAAATCACATGAAGTAAAATATCTAGGCATAAACTTAATCAAGAGGGTGAAAGGCCTATAAGCTGAAAACTATAAAATATTGATGAAGGAAAATGAAGATGATTCTGAAGAAATGGAATGATATCCCATGCTTTTAGATCGGAAGACTCATTATTATTTAAATGGCGATATTACTCAAAGCAATCTACAGACTTAATGCAATTCCTAACAAAACACCCAAGGACATTTTCCACAGAACCTGAACACACAGTCCAAAAATTTATATGGGACTACAAAAGATCCCATATAGCCAAAACAATCCTGAGAAAAAAGAACAACACTGAAGGTGTAACTCTCCCAGACTTCAGACTATCCTACAAAGCTATAGTAATCAAAAGAGCATGGTACTGGCACAAAAAACAAACACTTAGATTAACAGAACAGAGAAGCCAGAAATAAACCCACACACCTACAACCAATCTGTGAGAAAGGAGCCAAGAATACACATTGGACAAGAGACAGTATTCTCAACAAGTAGTGCTGGGAAAGCAGGACATCAATGTGTAAAACAGTGAGATTAGAAGATTCCTCACATGATATACAAAAATAAACTCAAAACAGTTATAACACCTAAATGTAAGACATGAAACCATAAAATTAGATAACACAGGTGAAACACTCTCATAAATCAGTAGTACTTTCTTGGATCACTCTCCCAAAGCAAAAAAAGAAAGCAATGCAGAGAACTGGAAACCATCAACAAAATGAAAACACACCTTGAAATGGGAGGAAATATTTGCCAATGATGCAACAAGGGATTAATATCCAAAATATATAGAAAGCACAATTAAGAAAAACATTGAATAGACAACCTAACTTCACACCTAAAACAACTGGAAAAACAAAAACAAAAAAAAACCAAAATTAGCAAAAGGAAAGAAATCATGAAGATCAGGGCAGAAATAAGTGAAAAAGAAATGAAAGAAACAATAGTAAAGGTTAATAAAACTAAAAGCTGGTTCTTCGAGAAGATAAACAAAATCCACAAACCTTTATTTAGCCAGACTCATCAAGAAATAGAGAGAGAAGAATCAAATCAACAAAATTAGAAATGAAAAAGGAGAGGTTGTAACAGACAATGCAGAAATACAAAGGATTATAAGAGTCTATTATGAACAACTATATGGCAATAAAATGGATAACCTGGAAGAAATGGACAGATTCTTAGAAAAGTTGGATCTTCCAAGACTGAACCAGGAAGAAATAGAAATTATGAACAACCCAATTACAAGCACTGAAATCGAAGCTATGATCAAAAATCTCCCAAAAAACAAAAGCCCAGGACCAGATGGCTTCACAGGAGAATTCGATCAAACATTTAGAGAAGAGCTAATGTCATCCTTCTAAAACTCTTTCAAAAAATTGCAGAGAAAGGAACACTTCCAAACTCATTCTACGAGGCCACCATCAGCCTGCTACCAAAACCAGACAAGACAATACACAAAAAAGAAAACTACAGGCCAATATCATTGATGAACATAGATGCAAAAATGCTCAACAAAATTTTAGCAAACAGAATTCAGCAACACATCAAAAAGTTAGTACACCATGATCAAGTTGGGATTATTCCAGGGAGGCAAGGATTCTTCAATATACACAAATCAATCAATGTGATACACCATATTAACAAATTGAAAGATAAAAACCATATGATAATCTCAATATATGCAGAAAAAACCTTTGACAAAATTCAGCACCCATTTATGATTAAAACTCTTCAAGAAATGAGCATAGAAGGAACCTACCTCAACATAGTAAAGGTCATATATGATAAGCCTACAGCAAACATTATTCTCAGCTGTGAAAAATGGAAAGTATATCCCCTAAAATAAGGAACAAGATAAGGGTGTCCACTTTCACCACTATTATTCAACATAGTTCTGGAAGTCCTAGCTACAGCAATCAGAGAAGAAAAAGAAATAAAAGAAACCCAGATCAGAAAAGAAGTAAAGCTCTCTCTGTTTGCAGATGACACGCTCCTGTATATAGAAAACCCTAAAGATAATATCAGAAAATTACTAGAGCTAATCAGTGAATTTAGCAAGGTTGCAGGATACAAAATCAACACACAGAAATCACTTGCATTTCTGTATACTAACAATGAAAAATCAGAAAGAACAATTAAGGAGTCAATCCCATTCACCAATGCAACAAAAAGAATTAAATATCTAGGAATAAACTTACCTAATAAGACAAAAGAACTGTACACAGAAAATTATAAGACACTGATGAAAGAAATCAAAGACGACATAAATAGATGGGAGAGATATTCCATGTTCCTGGGTAGGAAGAATCAATATTGTGAAAATGGCTATATTACCAAATGCAATCTACAGATTCAGTGTGATCCCTATCAAATTACCAATGACATTTTTCACAGAACTAGAAAAAAAAGCTTCACAATTCATATGGAAACACAAAAGACCCTGAATAGCCAAAGCAGCCTTGAGAAAGAAGAAGGGAGCTGGAGGAATCACCTTACTGGCTTCAGATTATACTACAAAGCTACAGTATGGTACTGGCACAAAAACAGAAATATAGACCAATAGAACAAGATAGAAAACCCAGAAATAAACCCATGCACCTATGGGTACCTTATTTTTGACAAAGGAGGCAAGAATATACAATGGGGCAAAGATAGCCTCTTCAATAATTGGTGCTGGGAAAACTGGACAGCTACATATAAAAGAATGAAATCAGAACACTTCCTAATACCATACACAAAAATAAACTCAAAATGGATTAAAGACCTAAATGGAAGACCAGAAACTATAAAACTCTTAGAGGAAAACATAGGTAGAATGCTCGATGACATAAATCAAAGCAAGGTCCTCTATGACCCACTTCCTAAAGTAATGGAAATAAAAACAAAAGTAAACAAGTGATTAAACTTAAAAGCTTTTGTACAGCAAAGGAAACTATAAGCAAGGTGAAAAGACAACCCTCAGAATGGGAGAAAATAATAGCAAATGAACCAACTGACACAGGATTAACTTCCAAAATATAGAAGCAGCTCATACAATTCAATACTGGAAAAACAAAATAACCCAATCAAAATGTGGGGAAAAGACTTAAACAGACATTTTTTCAAGGAAGAAATACAGATGGCTAGCAAACACATTAAAAGATGCTCAACATCGCTTATTATTAGAGAAATGCAAATCAAAACTACAATGATATCACCTCACACTGTCAGAATGGCCATCATCAAAAAGTCTACAAACAAATGCTGGAGAGGGAGTGGAGAAAAGGGAACTGTTGGTGGGAATGTAAACTGATACAGCCACTCTGGAAGATGGTATGGAGATTCCCTAACAAACTAGGAATAAAACCATCCATATGACCCAGCAATCCCATTCCTGGCATATACCCTGAGGAAATAAAAATTGAAAAAGACACATGTATCCCACTGTTCACTGCAGCACTATTTACAACAGCTAGAACATGGAAGCAACCTAGATGTTCATCCAAAGATGATGGATAAAGAAATTGTGGTACATACACACAATGGAACATTCAGTTCAGTTCAGTTCAGTCGCTCAATCGTGTCCAACTCTTTGCGACCCCAGGAATCGCAGCACGCCAGGCCTCCCTGTCCATCACCAACTCCCAGAGTTTACTCAAACTTACGTCTATCGAGTTGGTGATGCCATCCAGCCATCTCATCCTCTGTCGTCCCCTTCTCCTCCTGCCCCGAATCCCTCCCAGCATCAGAGTCTTTTCCAACGAGTCAACTCTTCGCATGAGGTGGCCAAAGTATTGGAGTTTCAGCTTCAGAATCAGTCCTTCTAATGAACACCCAGGACTGATCTCCTTTAAGATGGACTGGTTGGATCTCCTTGCAGTCCAAGGGACTCTCAAGAGTCTTCTCCAACACGACGACTCAGTCATAAAAAGGAATGCATCTGAGTCAGTTCTAATGAGGTGGATGAACCTAGATCCTATTATACAGAGTGAGGTAAGTCAGGAAGAGAAAGATAAATATCGTATTCCAACGCATATATATGGAATCTAGAAAAATGGTACCAAAGAATGGGCAACAATGGAGAAACAAACAGAGAGAACAGACTTATGGACGTGGGGAGAGGGGAGGGGGGTGAGATGTGTGGAAAGAGTAACATGGAAACTTACATTACCATATGTAAAATAGATAGCCAACAGGAATTTGCCGCATGGCTCAGGAAACTCAAACATGGGATCTGTATCAACCTAGAGGGGTGGGATAGGGAGAGAGGTTCAAAAGGGAGGGGATATATGTATACCTATGGCTGATTCATGTTGAGGTTTGACCAAAAAACAACAAAATTCTGTAAAGCAATTATCCTTCAATTAAAAAATAAATAAGTTAAAAAAAATACTATGCTAAATGAAAAATGCCAGAAACCAAAGGCTACAAGTTGTATGAGGCTATTGACTGAAGCTACAGAGCGTGCATGCATACACTGATGTGAAATGTTCAGAATATGGACATATAGACAGGCAGAAAGTAGACTACTAGGTGCTATGACTAAGGGAAAGAAGACGGGCGAAACAGTGAGTGGCTGCTAACAGGCACAGTGGTTTTTTCCAGAGTCACGGAAATGTTCTAAAATCGATTATGGCAATGGTTGTACAACTCTGAATATATTAAGAATCATGAATTGTACACTCTAAACAGATGAACTATATGGTATATAAATTATACCTCAATAAGACAGTTTTTAAAAATATTTATGTAAAAGAGGAAACAAAGAAAATACAGAAAGCATCTGGCTCTTAGGGTCAGCTAAAAATTCCTGTCTCACTGCAAGTGTCTTCAAAATTCCACATCCATTACGTTATTTTTGCATAGGATTCTTCTTTCAGGTGGACCAATTAAAAAAAAAAAGTGATTAAAACATTGTACTTCTCTAAACTCTGGAGAATAATCACATGCAGAAAAATATAAGATCCTTTGTCTTTTCTTGATGCCATTCTGGGGGGTCTTAACTCTTTCAAATGTTTAGATATCAACTATTCCAAACCTCTTAAAATCTAAAATTTCTTAAATTTCTAGATTAAAAAAAAAAAAGTCATGAATTCAAATACTGTCCTAAATGTCAGACAAACACTCTCTTGTAATTCAGCCCCCTAAGTATTATTGGCAAACTAAGCAACTAGTTCACAAAGCAATTTTTGTGGTATATGTTTTAAAACCTTAAAAAAATAATATAGAATGATATGATTATTTAAACATGGCAACCTATACTACATCTTACCCACATATGTTGGTGTCAAATAGTCCAATTTGCTAACAACAGTGAGCTTTTATGAGGCAGCTGGTGGAAGTAGGAACATAGCAAAAGTTCCCTGGTGCTCCACAACTATGCACGCATGGTGGCATGAGGCAGGGAACCCATGCCAACCACTTGTGAAGGACAGGACCCCTGTACTCAACACAGATGAGAGAGGGGAGATGCCTTATTCTTTATGCTGCTACTCTTCATGCCCCCCCAACAGCAAAAGAGTCCATATTTGATTCTTAAAGAGAATGAATTCAACAACATCTTAACCCTTCAGTTGTTCTGCCATGTTCAGATCTTTCCTCAGACCTATGTTCTGGCCTCTTTTGCACAGGGTCAAAGCTCACGATCAGTCCCTCACTTCACTCCAGAATTAACACCATGAATCAAAAAGAAGAAAGATTTGTTCTCTATAAGGAAGAACACAAATCTGTTTTGTAGGAAATTGTTATATATAATTACACAATTTTAAAAAACAGGCCAGTAAACTTGAGGTTAAATTTCAACATACAAAGAAATACAAAAAGTAGTTTAACAATTTCAACACACACACAAAAATTTAGCAAGTAATTCTAACTCCTCATCTTTATATATGTCTATAAAAGTCTTGTCAAAACTTTAAAATATAACCTTAGGAAATATTTCTCTTTATTGCAGTCATCAGTTAGTTGGTATTATTAAAAAGTAAAAAAATAAGTCAGCAATACTCTAAGACCCAAGGCTGTGGAGAGATGGCCCCTTAGCTTGCTTCTAAAGGTCTCTTCTTCTACCTGAACCACAGGAAACAGCAGGGCAGGAGTTCGAGTCCCAGGGCTGCCTCTAAAATTCTCTGTGGTCTTGGACAAGTTATTTAACTTTTTCAAGCCTCCATTCCTTCACCATCAGCATTTTCTAAACATTCTGTCCAAGGAATATTAATCTCATAAAGAAGGGTTCTGTTTTCAAATTAAGTCAGAGACCGCTACACACCATTTCTCCTCTTCAGGAGGTTCACACAACATGCAATAGCATGACTAAAGGCTCTGAGAAGTCCTGCAGGATGTTTGTCTAATCGTGTATCCATCTTGGTTGACCTCAGGCTCCCTTACCTGCTAACACTTTAGCATCCTGTGGATTACACTTTGGAAAACATTGGTCCAACATATCCCAGGTCTCTTCCAGTCCTTACACTGATAACACGCAGGAAGAGCAATGCACTATTATGTTGCAGGTTCTGGGGTTTAAGAGTAGCTTTAATGCTCTGGAGTTGACAAGGAACTTATTCACATTAATTGGTCCTTTGAAGATCAATACAATTCCCTTGTTCCTAACGAGAGTCTTCATTCAAGGAAAGAGATGATGACCGTCACACAATCTCGGCGGCCACCTACAGCACAACACACAGACCTGAACAAGAAGGATCAGTTATCTTCAATATAGTTTAGCTTTCCTTTCCAGTATGGTTTGATGTTTCTCTGTAGCAAATGCTTTGGCCACTGTTCCTTGGAACAGTTCTGCCCACCTTTCACAGGATCCCTGCCCATCCTCACTTCCTTGTCCAGGATGAAGTCACTGTGCAGGGAGACTGTCACGAGTTCTCAGGTTAAAGAGCTGCTCTTCCAAGAAGGCACCCCCAAGGCCATATTGTTCTTCATGGAGCCTCACTTCTTCAGGCGACAAGTGGCTTCCTCCGAGAACAAAGTCTGCAAACCTAGTATTTGTTTTAAATAAAGTTAATGTTATCACGGAAAGCTTTATTTGGAAGATAACATGTTCCCTGGCTACTTATCCCCTTTAATTAAATTTGTCTTTGCATTAGTAGAGGATGGCATTTGCACAGTGGGTGTAAAAACAGGGATGGCTTATGTGCTCCTCCAGACATTCAGGAAAGGATCAAGAAGTAGGCAGACTTGGAAGCGCCAGGTGCTGCTAAATATACCCACTCCTGTTTCCTATTCCTTTTCTCTCTTATTAAATGTTTTATTTATTCATTACTTTAGTGTCTTCCCCGCTTCAATTTTTAAGTTGAGGGCACTGCTATTTGGATAAAGCAATGAAGAAGGAAAAACAGTAAAGAAAAGAGGCTAGGGCAGAGATTTCTTTCTTGGTGAACTTTATAAATGAGTTCCCACCCCTACAGCATGAGAAGCAGATGACACATCCCATTCTGTCTCCTTCTCCTTTGAGTGGTCTTCATGGCCTTCCTGATATAATACATCAGACCAACATTTACTTCGGCCCTGGCCGTTCTACGCTGCATCAGAGCGCTGAAGCAAAAGCAGCTCTGACAGTTTCCATCTCACGTTACTCGGGAAGCTGTCTGTTTCTGGCCTTAAGTACCTGATCCAAACTGTCATGTTATTTCCAGGGTAACTGCAACCCAGCTGTGGTGTGGACAGTGGGACGAGGCTTACTTTTTCGGTTCCTGGAGCCTGGAGACAGCCAGCCAGGATGGGAAGCCGGGGTTGCGGCAGGCCTGGCGGAGCTCCTCCAGGGAGCAGGTTGTGGCAGCATCAGCTTGTTCCCTGTATTCGTCTTCAGTAAGAAACTTCACCGCCGGCTTCTCTGATGTAAACCATTTCTTCATTTTCCTAAAACAGGCAGCATTTGGTTGCTAGATTCCTGGCCATATCTGGTTGCTCAATTCAACTCTTCAGATTTATAAAAATACATTTCTTAGAAAGTAATAATTCTTAACTTCCTCTATATCATACTATACTTATTTCTATTGTTATCCTAATTGAGGTTTATAGAACATGTAATTTGGGCTAACTGTACATTCCCCCTCTTCCTGGACCAGCTGAAATAATATCTTAAGGCACTGAGGATCCTTTCTTTAAAAAATTTATTTGGCTGTGGCATCTTCATTGCAGCCCACAGGATCTTTAGCTGTGGCATGCAGACTTAGTTGTGGCACGTGGGATCTAGTTCCCCAACCAGGGACTGAACCTGGGCCTCCTGCATTGGAAGTAAAGCCTTAGCCAACTGGATCACCAAGAAGTCCTGAGGATTAATTTCTGATACAGACATAATTGTATTTTTCTTCTGTGGTGATTTCAAATCAGGCAATTAAAAACCTGGCTTCTTTTTGCCTGCCCTGCTGATTTTCCTGGGCACCAACAGCAGCAAACCTCTGAGATGTCCTTTTATGGAGACCCAGCAGAATCACTTGCCACTGAGTCTAAATAGAGAAGCTGGGAAGATCTGTGGGGTATGGCCTCCATCTAGTGGTGGAGACGCTGACTAATCTCAGAGGAAGTAAACACACTTTACAAGGGTCACGTACACACAGTAATTCATAATATTAAAATCATTATTCTTTTGCTACATATGGAGGGGCTCACAATTGGAACTTTTTTCCAATCAAAAAAGTCCTAGAGAGAAGAATCTCATAAAGAGAAGTAATGATGAAGAGGTTTTAACACGTGTATTTATCAGTGAGTTTTAAAAAAATGTTTTAGGTGGTTTAAAATTTAACCAGAGATTCCCAAATACAAATGAGCAACAAAATCACCAGGAGGTGTTTTAATATATGTTTTCTTGAGGTTTGGGGCCTGAAAATCTTTAAACTTTTACAGATCGTCTGGTGGTTGATAAGCTGGATTAGGGAACCACTGACATTATTTCCTCCTCCTTTTCTGAACACCTAGCCTGGTCTTCATGGAGGAAAATGCGGGGCTCTGAGCAGAAGACGGGCATACAGTTTCAGTGGTGAGGTTCACCCACTGTGCAAACTGCGCCTCACAGTTCTGAGCCTCATTTTGCTCACATGGAAGAAAAATGAAAGCAACATCGTCAACCTCAGGAGGTCACTGGACAATGAAAAATATTACTTTGTGTCAAATGCTTAGCACAGTGAACAGCCTACAGTAAGTGTTCGACAGATAAAATAATAACTACCATATGTTATCAAAATGTATTCAAACAGCTCTTTGTAAACTAGAAAGTACTATACAATCAAAGTATTATTTCTCTGGCTTATTATTTAACCTATAAGTTCCTATTTTATTTCTTAATCCTTAACAAAATTACTCACCAGCAATATGAACAGTTGAGGAAGTTACAGTACATTTTGATCATTAGGTCTGTGTTCAAGAGACTGCACAGCAAATGCATAAAAGGATCACCGTGCAGGTAACAGAACACACTTGGCTCTTGGCAGGGTAGTGGATGTTGACAAGGAAAGTGGAAGGAATTCTCTTGGGTTCCTCAGGCCACAAGCCAGACAAGGGACTAGAGGCCTGAAGGGTGGTGCAGTGGCCAGTGCCCTCCTGGCAGAGGGAACTCGGAGAGCCCCAGTCCCTGCCTGCCTCTGAGCCAGGGCAGAGAGAAGCAGTTGGCATCAGCCTTGCCAACATCCTCTGCAGAGAGGCCCTGCCCTGGCTCTGGTGCCTTTTTAGCCCTGTGACGTCACCACCCGTGGAGTCAGCAGATCCATAAACCATCAGCTGTCGCAGAGTCTCCCCTCTCACAGTCAAGTTTGCCTCGCAAATATTCACTAACTGCCTCTTCTAGCCTTGATCTCACCGCCCTGCTCCAGGCCCCCCTCCCCTCCTGCCTGGACCACTGTGACATCTGACGACTGGTCTCCTGCCCCCAAACCTGCCCTCAACCTCCACCCTCTGCACCCGAAGACAGACGGGCCCCATCCCACTGCCCAATGAGTGACTGTGGTTTCTGCTTGGATTCTGGCTTGTTGACTGTGTTTTTATTTTCGTTCTTAGTTAGTTGCCAACATTTAAAAATCGTAAGACTTGACAAATTCCACCCATGTTCCCAGCTTTTCTAGAAAACGAGGAGATCTGGCAAGGCCCATATTCTCACGTGGCAATCATGAGCTCAAGCTGAGGGTAACTGACCCCATTTCACTGGGGCAATGTTGCAGAACTTTCCACAGTCCTCACCACTGCCTTCCCTCTGCTCAGAATCCTTCACTCAGTACCTTCTGGGGCCCCAAGCATTTGATTTCTAACTTCTGTCTGGGCAGCAGTCAGAGTGCACTGCTGGAAATGCAGAAAGGGCAGCGCCTCCACCACGTATAGGGTCAGATTAGATTCTCCAGCACTGCCTGCGAGGCCTCCACATCCTGGCGGACACCGACCTCGCTCGCCTGCTCTGGGACGGTAGCAAACTGGGCTTTCTCCCTGTCAGGAAGGCCTTTCCTACACTTATTCATCTGGCTATTTTGATTCATTAGGATTCAGCCCATTAGTCTCTTTTCAAGAACTTTCCTGAACTTTTTCTACATGCTACACTTTCTGGGTGGGTTTCTCCAAACGCTCAGTGGTAAAGAATCTGCCTGCGTTACAGGAGACCTGGGTTCAATTCCTGGGTCGGGAAGATCCCCTGGAGGAAGAAATGGCAACCCACTCCAGTCTTCTTTCCTGGAAAATCCCATGGACAGAGGAGCCTGGCGGGCTACAGTCCATGGGATCACAAAGAGTTGGACACAACTGAGTGACTAAGCATGCATACTTCCTGGGCAGACCTATTTGAACACTCGTTCTAGCAACAATATGCCTATGTCTCAACAAATACACCTCCAGGGTAGGGGCCATCTCCTTCACCTGTGCACCTAGCACAAAAACAGGTGTTCAGACTCCATGGCTTAAGGACATTTAAGCCTTATCTTAAAACCTAAGAAAAAAGAAAGTCCTGATTATATAAATTATAACTTTCAACAATTTGTTATTCAATTCTGTTCCCTTGTATCTCGTAAGCACAACAAATACCCCCAAAAGAAAGGAGATGTAGAATGAAAGTAGAAATGTTAGGTGACACCATGCCCAAGTAATTTTGTCACTGATTTTAGTGAATTCTGGGTGAGCTGTCATTACCTGGTAACTGGTGGCTCTGGAAGATTAACAACAGCTAGCAATGGAGTTTGGATCAGGCGCTTACATTCTTTAACCACCCCCTTCTCAGAGGGAAATCTGAAATCTCCAGATGAAGTGGAGTGAATTGTAGTATCAAGTAGGACATGTCCAAAAAATGCCCCCAAAGAATAAAGAAAACCAGAGCTCAAAACATCAAGCTTATGACGGAGGAAAGAAAGGAAGCTACACACCTCCCGACACAGGTGAGCGCGCTCCGCAGATAGCGCCGACTCCCGGATGACAGGATGAGGAGCAGGGCGGCCGTGGAGGCGAACTGGGGCGCGGACACCCCCGCGTACACCAGGAGCAAGGACAGAAGCCGCAGCAGCCACGCCAGGAGCACCACGCTCCTCTCCTCCACCAGGGGCCCGTGCTTGTAGCAAACAGCAAAGCTGACACAGCCAAGTGTCAGGACGTAGCCTGTAAGAACAGAAATATGTAAAATAACCTAACGCCAAATTTGCAAAGTTATGGGAAAAATCTGGCAGACTTAGAGCTAAGAACATACCAGAACACCTGCATTTTTCTTTCCCCAATGAAGCTGAAAAATGCATTTAGAGCTAGTTATTCCTCCCCTGTGAGCTGCTAGATGGACTCTGCAGTACTTAAGGATGTATAATAATACATTATTGTAATATATAAGTATACCTGTTTTCTGGCCCAGAGTCGTAGAGGACAGATGTTATCACAGCTGCTTTGGTCAGGAATAAGCCTTAGTGTACGTCATAGTCTGCCACAAAACCTGTTTTTAATTTTCTAATCACTAAATCACAGTGTGATTTTACAGTGGAGGGATCAGGCTGTCACCCTTGCAATCTGGGGCTGTTTCTGTCCTACTAACAGAGGGACAAGTGGTGATCCAATGTCAAGAGCACGTCACCTCTTAGGTGTTCAGCAAGCATTTCATTTCTATCTAAGCAAGTCTCAAGCCCTAATTTCCAGCTTATATAAGATGTAGGAGAGAAACAAGTTAAATTATACCACAAAGGAATAATCAGAGAAATCCAGAAAGTAGAACATTCTGTAGGACAACTAACTTGGTCTCTTCAGCATATCACTGAGATGGGGGGAAAAACCCAAAACCAGAAACCTATTAAGGATTAAACGAAACTTATGGGACATAACATATGCAAAATGTCATTCTGGACTATATCCTACCTTATTAAACCAAACATCAAGGATGTTTAGGAAATTTGAACATGGCCTAGATAACAGATAATCTTATGTAACTATTAATTTTTTAAGATTTAGTAATTGAACTATAGAGGAAAATGTTCTCGCCTTATAGAAATGTTAAGTCAAGTACTCAAACATACCATAACAGCAATAATTTACTTTGAAAATACTTTAATATAAAAAGAAAAATGGACTAAAAACATAAAAGCTTCAAGTGAAACAAAAATCGATTGCTTTTGCTTTGGGTGGGTGTTACTTATATGAGAAATTGGGCACTAAGAGGTTAGGAGAAAACGGATTCTCCCATTCTCTGTTATTTCCCAATTAAAACACTCTAAAAAGTTGAGATATTTTTGTTCTTTTAAGTGACAAGAACAAGCCTCTCTGTTTCTAAAAGTCAAGTTTTCTTTGGTCATTTATATTTATAATTTCTTACCTTTTGTAATAAATACATTAAGAAAAAGAAAGAGCCACATTTTAGAGCAACTTTTTTCATTACAATTTAGAGGTGGTTAGAGCTTAACTGCAATTTAAAAACATATGCAGTCAAAAAGGGCAAATACTGCTTTGCTCTTTTGATCATCAGAGCAGAAAACTAGGAAGAATGTCAAAGAGAAATAGTCTAAAATGATATCTAATGAACTGAAACCACCAACTATGGGAATAAAATATTATTTTTAACAATTCTTCTCCTTAGTTCAAAATGAAAATCTGAATGCTGGAGTGTATGTCAAGAGAAGGCCCCTGGCTATACTTTTCGCTTTACCAATAACAGACTGTATTTTTTAAATCTTTACCTACCTAATACACATATTCTGCTTTCATACCACAGTCTCTTCAGCTCTTCCATCAGTTGCCCCACAACATAAAGTGAAGCAAACAAACAACCGAGCATTAGAGCCCAAAAGGTGCTATACTGTGTGTGGAAGAAAATAAATCACATGGTTTTTGGTTCATTCACTCTCATAAAAGTAGAAATAAACAAATAAAACCCTTTGTATTTGAAATCTGTATATCAAACTACACTGAAGTCAAGATAAGACACTCTTCTCAAGTCTCACTAAAGGTATGATCCACGCACCAGCAGCTTCAATGTCACTAGGAATCTGGTGGGAACTAAGACTCTCAGGCCCACAGCAGACTCCTGAGTCAGAGACTGTACTTCAATAGGACCCAGGTGATGTGCATGTACATTACAGTTGGAGAAACATTGTTCTAAAGAATAAATTCATCTCAAAATAATGCTGGTGTTGTAAGCTTTCATCAGAGTAAACCCAACATTAGCATCATGAACTAATACATATGTATCCTCAACTAAGTGTAGGCCATTCTTTTATTGAAGGTGCTTTGGGGGAACTAATAATGGTGAAGAAATCCCTAGGTGTTGCAACGTTGTTATTCAAGGCCCTGATGGTTCAGCATCATGACATTCTTCAACTATGCCAAGAGAAATTCTCATTCAGCATAGGATGAGTCCCCATCACTCATAAGAAAGATGCACTATCTAGAAAATAAAAGGGCCTCAAAAAAAGTATGGCCAAAATGTACTACTGAAACCTACACATTGTAACAAATGAAAATAGAATCTCTAAGAAAAGACACAATTTAAGCCAGTTAATACAGTGTAGAAATTAGGAACTGTCATAATAAACATGAATTAATTTTAATCAATTTTTCATGTTTATGAGATCATGATTTCCATTTTTTAATTCATCTGTACCTGATATACCTACCTTAGGAATGAACTTTTTCACCAGCAACAGGACAAAGACTAATGTCATTAGAACACCTAGCACAGTCCCCGAAGAGTAGAAGAAAGCAGGGCTTCTGTCAAGACGACCAGAAAAAAGCCATGTAAATGCCAAATCACACTTTCAGTATTAGAAATGCTGAATTTGACAGAAGCCATAAAGAATATTAAGAGGAAAAACTAAGATGGCAGCTTTAATTATGTCCTATTCTCTTAAAAAGTGAAATCTCTACTTGAAATTTATGGTAAATAGCTTGCCACTGACTCAGAACAGAACGTCTGAGTTATCTTCTGTGTTCACAGTCTGGTCCAATAGTGATTACCAGAGCACCTAGCATGTGGCAGGCACGCGTCTGAGAGCTTTACATGCATTCACTATAGCCCTCTATAGGAGCTACGTGTGTGCTCAGTTGCTCACTCATGTCCAACTCTTTTGCAATCCCATGAGCTGCAGCCTGCGAGGATTTTCCAGGCAAGAATACTAGAGTGGGGTGCCATTTCCTACTCCATGGGCAATAGCTATCCATGTCTCAATTTTACGTGGCAGGAAAAAGCCGCCAAAAAGTTAAAGACTTTCCTCAAGTCAGTATCTGCCAGTTGGGAGGAATCGGGCTTGCAGCCCAGCTCCTTTGAGTCCAAGCTTTACTCTTCAGGTTATGCAAACAACATATAGTTTATTAAGATCATGGACGACATTAAAGACACACTCTTAAGCTCTAACAAAAAGCTCAAAAATAAACAATGTCCAGAATAGCAAGTCAAGAAGTAAAATATTATTGAAAAGAAATTTTTCAAAAAAAGAAGTTATAAGAAACAAAGCATCAGGATAATATGTTAAATTCAACCTTCTGTATTAGAGTTACAAATCTAGGAGGTGGTACAAATGTCAGAGAGAAAGGCACGGCATCAGAAAACCTGAGTGTGAATTTCAGCCCTGGCAAGACTAGCCTTGTAATGACGGATGCTGGTTTTCTCATCCATAAAATGCGAATAATCATCCAGAGCTCACATAGTTGTTAAGGGAAACAAATCAGTTGAAACAACGTATATGGATACATGATACAAAATAATGCATGTGAAAGCACCGTGTAACTGGAACATACCATGTTACACAAATAACTCTCGCTGGTTTTAAAAACCTTTTCAAAACTATCTGGAGACCTGTTGTTGGCAAAACCTAAAGCAAGAACTACAACTAGTATGGAAATATTTATCACAAGGTCAAAAGGGTCCTACTCTTTTTTTTTTTTTCTTCCCGGCTATGCCCTGTGGCTTATGCCATCTCAGTTCCTTGACCAGGGATTGAACCCAGGCCCTTGGCAGTGAGAGCCCAGAGTCCTAACCACGGGATCACCAGGCAATCCTCCTGTTCTACTCTTTTTGACTCACAAAATTAAGAAAGTAAAAATGAATACTTACTGACTCAAGGTCTTTGCATAAAAGAAGAGGAGGATGCCCACCACAAACACAAAGAACAGTTTGAAATCCACAACTGGAGCAAAAAAAAAAAAAAAACACAGACACAAAGATTTTGTGTCAATGCAGTTAGTGAAAGACAGTCAACTTACTGAAATGTCACTCCAGAAAAGCTGAACCCAGAAAATCAAGTGTAATAAAAACAGACTTACTGTTTTGTTTCACACTTATTGTATAGATAAATGTCTTCCTGGCTGGCTTCACAGAGAAACAGACAGTCTCTCCATATGGATGGATGATTATGGTTATATCATTAGACTCCTCTGGTGTCCAAAAGTTATGAATCATACATTTGATGATGGATAGAATGGTTTCTGGATACTGGCAATTATACCTTTCTGTGATATATACAACACTGAGCAGGCCTGAACTGGTAATTTTCACCTATGAAATGAGAATCAACAAATTCACAAACAGAGAAGTTAAAACTTCTTATCAGCTTCTTAAAATCATGAGCAAAGGAAGAGAGAGAGCCCAGAACTGGCTGAGTAAAGAACACTCAGAGAACTTGGTCACGTTCTGACCCCACGGATGGACCTGGCTTTCTGGGTTTAGTCAACACATACGGGAGCACAGACACTTCTGAGAGTGGATGTTTCTCGCCGAGTTGTGGTTTATTTAACACCCTCTTCCAGCAGGTTACTGTAACCAAAGGCCACATGCAAACAGATGAGAGGAAATAATGGGCAGCAAACTACTGGGTTATAAACCTCATGAGAAGAGGATTTATCTCTCCACCGTTTCCACGGTGATTGAGAAAAAACATTTCTTTCTTCCGGATCACCTGAGCATATGTGCTTCAGGCTTCTGTCACCATGTCCTCTGAAGAGGGGCCCAACCCCAGGTCCTACTCAACTCCTGCAGCAAAGTGCCATCCATAATGCCAAGCAGAGGCCAACAGCCCAGGGACCATTAAACGACACTCTGCTGCTGCCTTTATCCCTCCTTCTTCTGTGTCCAAGGAGAGGGCGCGCCTGAAAAGGGGAGTGAGAGCAGCAGCCCTGAATCTCAGGCATCAGGTGGTATCACCCACAATCTACCTCCACCCCAAACCTCTTGGGACTTCAGCTCCTGGCTCACCGCCGCTCTCCAAATACTACTTCCTGTTATATGTCTCTGGGATTAAATTTACACAATATACACATCCTGTCCTTCCAATATCCTGGCTTCTTGGTTCCCCAAACTTCTCCCCTCTTACAGCTCCTGTTCTCCACACACCTCAGGTAATCACTCTCGCGGCCACACACTAGATCTCGTCAGTCCCAAACTTCAGCCCCCAATATAGGCTGCATGAAATGCACCCCAGCAGACAACCACCACCTCCTATCTTTCCAGCGTGCCCCGCTGACTCCCAGACGCCAGCAAGCATGGACCCCAGCATTGATCAAGCATCCTTCCCCTCCTCCTCACCCTAGATGGCTTCAGCCCCTTCTTTTCCAGCTGAGTTCCATGATCAGTCACTATGAAACAATCCCTCACATGTATCCTTGTCTGTACCCCTCCTGCTCTATCATACTCACTCCCAAAATTCAACCCTCCACCTTTCCCACTTTTGCATTTGCACCATTGTGCTGGAAAAACCAGCAGTGCTCTCTTCCCACCCATGTCTGGGAATCTGAAGTGGGACCAGAGAGTGCTGCCTGCCATCACACCACACATTCCTGTCCAGCCACTCTTCCCTTCTCTTCAACCCCAACCTCACAGCTTCTCTGTCCTCAACACCCCAATAACTCCTCCCCTCCTCACTCGTGGCTGAGGATCAACTTCACAGAGAACGGAAGAGATCCAAGAGAACCCGACAGGCTCCTATCCCCGTATCTCCCCACCTGTCAGCACTGCAGGCACATGCTCTGCTTCCGGCTTGTGCATTTCGGAGGAAATTCCCACCACAAGGAGACTGACATGCTCCACTCTAAACTCCCAACCTGTGCCCTGGATCCGACCCATTCAGCTGCTCAAGGACATCCCACCAGAACCTCCTTCCACTTTACTAGACCGTTTCCATCAGCTTACAGACACGCCAGTATTTTCCTCATTAAAAAAAAAAATACACACACGAAAACCTTCTATTGACTTCCTTTCACCCTCCAACCATCACCCCTTTTCCCCGCTTCCCACTGCAATAAAATTCTTCTGCATTCTCCAGTTCCTCTCCCCTCTTTCTGTCTTTAGCCACTTCAATCAGCCTTTCGTTCCCAACAGGCTGCCCCTGGCAAGGTCACCAGCAACCTCCACGTTGCTAAACGGAATGGTCAGTGCATTCCCTGTCGTCCTCTGATCCGTCCACAGAGTCCAGCACGGCTGGGCCCTCACCCCCCGTCCCTGCCACGCTTCCTGGGGCTCCCAGGGTACCTCCCCACCCTGCTCGTCCTTCTGTCTCTCCACTGCTGCATCCCCCCGATCTCCTAATAGCAAACTGGCCCAGTCTCGGTCATTGGTCCTTTCCTTTTCTCCATCTAAACTCACTGCTTAGCCTCATGGCTTTAAGCATGATCTATAAATATGCCTCACTGCTTCTTTTGCAAAAAGAAACATAGGAAAGAGAACAAAACTAATTCCCTACATGCATCGAGTGGGAAAGGGTTACAGGGATGAGATGGAGGGACACTTCTCTGAGAACTTCTTTGTGTAGTTTTGACTTCTGGGCCTTTAATATTGTGCCCTTTTGACTTTAACATTATACACGCTAAAAAAAAAATGATAATAAAATCAACTAGGATGAGGAAAAACTCTGAAATGGTAACAAATAAGAACAAATGTATCCCAAATGAATAATATAACCAGATTTAAGGGAGATGGGTGGGAAATGCATGAACTCAAGTAACTTTTGAGCATAGTATTAAGATTTGTAACCCCATTAGTATTTAGATGGTGCAAACTATGAGAATAAAACCTTGTAAACAAATGCTGAGTTCCTGTTACTAGGCTTGCTTTTCACAACAGTATGGCTTAGCAACTCTGAAATTACTCTAGGAATAGAAAAACAAATCAATATATTGAGGATAATGGGAACCAGGTCTCTCACAATTCGAGAAGAGAGCTACAGAGATGGAAAGGACAAAGACTAGAATGAATCCAGTGGTACTGGAGAGGTAAGAATGCATGGGTTTTGACAGACAGATAGATAGGAAGAAAGGAAGGAAGGAAGGAAGAGTTATGTGTACAGGAGTATGGATGTGTATGTGTGTGTACACACACATTTGACAATGATATCCAGTAGTAATACCTAACACTTAGGCTCCTCAGAAAATGTATGACTCCAGAGCTGGGTCTAAGAAATCACAGGGTAAGCCTGGGAACATCTTATTTGCCAGAAGGTAAAGAACTGCTCAAATAATGATAAGCACAAGGTAAAAGTCATAGGAGCTAGTTTGAAGGGGCTCTTACTGGCCAAATCCAGGACAAGATGAATATGAAAATAAACAACAGAAGTAATGAACTGTAGTCCAGTGAATGAACTGGCAATCCACGAGACTATATGGCTCTAAATAAACTGGAGAAGTAAATTCTTCCTTACAGAAGAATGCCAATGGCTGTCGAAGGAATAATGGGATTAGAAAAGCACCATTTGATAAACACTGTGATGGTAACTGATTTAGGCAAGCATCATCAATGGATAATAAAACTAGAGAGTGAAAGTTTGACAAGCAACAGAATATATACCTAGTCTCAAATTATCCCCTCAAAATATTCACTCATCACAGAGGTGAAAATAGTCATTTTGTAGTAGTAAAACTGCAAACCGACAGATAACCACCTTAAGTAAGTGACCAAAGTGGTGGTAAGTTATCAGGAACGGTACTAAGCAGTTCATGTGCCCACTGATGCAGATGATGTCCCAGCTCTGCCCCAGCTGAGAGCACTTTCCTCAGATTTCCTGCGGGTTGACTCACATCACTGAAAGCGCACTCGAATGTCACCTTTCCGATGAGAACCCCCCCAACCGTTCTTTTCAACACTGCAACTTGCCCCTGCTTCTGTCGTCCTACTTATCTTACTCTACATTCTCTTTTTTCATAGCACTTACCAGTTTTATAATTTTCTCCTCTTTTACACACGTGGCTAACCCTGCCCTACCGCCCCAGCTACCCCCACATTCCTGAGAGTGTTAACATCACAGGAACAGAGATCCATTTTGTTCACTTATGGATCCTGAGAGCTTAGAATAATTCCTGGCACGTCAGTTTAGTTCAGTTGCACCCAACTCTTTGCGACACCATGGACTGCAGCATGCCAGGCCCCCCTGGCCATTACCAACTCCCAGAGTTTACTCAAATTCATGTCCATTGAGTCAGAGATGCCATCCAACCATCTCAGCCTCTGTCGTCCCCTCTCCTCCCGCCTTCAATCATTCCCAGCATCAGGGTCTTCTCAAATGAGTCAATTCTTTGCATCAGGTGGCCTCTGTATTGGAGTTTCAGCTTCAGCATCAGTCCTTCCGCTGAACATTCAGGACTGATTTCCTTTAGGATGGATTGGTTGGATCTCCTTGCAGTCCAAGGGACTCTCAAGAGTCTTCTCCAACACCACAGTTCAAAAGCACCAATTCTTCGGTGCTCAGCTTTCTTTATAGTCCAACTCTCACATCCATCCATGACTACTGGAAAAATCATAGCTTTGACTAGACAGACCTTTGTTGGCAAAGTAATGTCTCTGCTTTTTAACACACTGTCTAGGTTGGTCATAACTTTCCTTCCAAGGAGCAAGTGTCTTTTAATTTCATGGCTACAGTCACCATCTGCAGCGATTTTGGAGCCCAAAAAAATAGTCAGCCACTGTTTCCCCACCTATTTGCCATGAACTGATGGGACCAGATGCCATGATCTTAGTTTTCTGAATGTTGAATTTTAAGCCAACTTTTTCACTCTCCTCTTTCACTTTCATCAAGAGGCTTTTTAGTTCTTCTTCACTTTCTGCCATAAGGGTGGTGTCATCTGCATATCTGAGGTTATTGATATTTCTCCTGGCAATCTTGATTCCAGCTTGTGCTCCTTCCAGCCCAGTGTTTCTCATGATGTACTCTGCATATAAGTTAAATAAGCAGGGTGACAATATACAGCCTTAACATACTCCTTTCCTATTTGGAACCAGTCTGTTTTTCCATGTCCTGTTCTAAATGTTGCTTCTTGATCTGCATACAGATTTCTCAAGAGGCAGGTTAGGTGGTCTGGTATTCCCATCTTTTGAAGATTTTTCCACAGTTTGTTGTGATCCACACAGTCAAAGGCTTTGGCGTAGTCAATAAAGCAGAAGTAGATGTTTTTCTGGAACTCTCTTGGTTTTTTTATGATCCAAAGGATGTTGGCAATTTGATCTCTGGTTCCTCTGCCTTTTCTAAATCCAGCTTGAACATTTGGAAGTTCACGGTTCACGTACTATTGACGCCTGGGTTGGAGAACTTTGAGCATTACTTTACTAGCATGTGAGATGAGTGCAATTTTACGGTAGTTTGAGCATTCTTTGGCATTGCCTTTCTTTGGGATTAGAATGAAAACTGACCTTTTCCAGTCCTGTGGCCACTGAGTTTTCCAAATTTGCTGACATATTGAGTGCAGCACTTTCACAGCATCATCTTTCAGGATTTGAAACAGCTCAACTGGAATTCCATCACCTCCACTAGCTTTGTTCGTGGTGATGCTTCCTAAGGCCCACTGGACTTCGCATTCCAGGATGACTATCTTGACCATATGTGAGATCAGAGGTAACTTCAGAATTTCTATAATATATATATATATAGAGAGAAAGGTTTGAGATAGCAATTATTTTGGAAAGTATGTGAGAGGATGTTGTCCTGAGCCATGTCTAAACAGCAAGCACACTGCATCATATAGTATATTTACTTGGAGCAGATGGAGAAGGGCGGATGAAGAGTGTGGAGAGTTTATGTTTCTACCACATCCCTCTGCTTGAACGACCGTGTGGTTCTCCAGGCCGCTTTCCTACTGGTAATAGCTCTATGTCATACAAAAACTCTATGTCTATTTCTACTCTTGAAATAGTACCTTTAAACTCTCTGTTCCTAAGACATAATTTGAAAGTAGGCTCTTACCTGCACAGTTGACCATATATACTTCCATTTCACTTGGGAATTTTGATTGTAGCAGTAACAGTCTGACAGAGAAGCTTTAATTAAATCCATCTCCTTCAAAGTTTTACACCTAGAAACTGAGAGATGGAAAAGAGAATATATTTCCTAAATATATAATTGCCCCAAATCTTCTTTTTTATTCACAGGGTTAATGATGGCTGCTTTTATAGTTCATGAGCATTAAATTCTTCTATGCAGTAATCATAGTCCTTCAGTCTTTCCAGCCTAGCGGGAGACAAAAATATTACAGTCCAATATCAGTAGTCACATGACAGATGAAGGACTGTAAGAGCAAAGAGAATAGGCACGTCTTCAACCTTGAAAGAGAGGGCAAGGACTCAAGAGGCTTCCCAGAGAGGAGGAAATGTGAGTGGACCACTGATCACAGTTGGAGGCCGTGACCTAGAAGTCAGGAGGTGGGGATGACAAGCGTGTGCAGATCCATAGAGATGAAGGAGATGATGGAAGTGGTCTAGCCATTCCCGAGGATGGAATGCAGGGAATCCACGAGGACGCTGTAACAGCAGCAGCTAGAGAGCGAAGCAGCAGTTATCACTACAGTGAGCAACAGGGGCTTCTGGCTGAAAGCGGAGCACTGAGGGATTTTAGGTAAACGAAGCTTCAGCAGGAAACCGCTGACATGCCAGAGGGTTTAACTGAGAAGAGTTCAGTGAAGACGTGGACAGGGTTAAGGCATCAACAACAAGGAACACGAAGCTCCCAGGCACCAACGACAGCAGAAAGCCTTCAACATTCCTAGGCCTGAGATGGCAAAGGGGGCCCGCTGTCACTGAAGGTGCGAGAGCTGCGAGGACAGCAATCCAAGGGAACACAGACACTGCCCGGACTGCTGCCCACCACCCCCCCACCAGTCTCTCAGCAGCCAGACCCAGTGGGAACCAGAGGGCAGAGAAGCCCAGAGGCCAGCTTCCTGGCACTGACAGGAGAGAGAAGGGCAGAGAATGCATCTGTGGGAACAGAGAACACGGTCGGGTCTTGGCAAGAGCATTCTGGAAGCCTTATGAAACGTCAGAGGGGAAGAACATGGCAAGCAGAACTGTGGAGGCTCCTGAAGCAATCTGAAGAAGAAATGAACTAAGTAGGAGGGAGAAAGAGCAGATCAAAGAACAACTAGGAAGTGGAATCGACAGACTTAGAGATTCAGAGGTAACCTGATGGTTCTGGTGAGTGGGGAGACGGTGAGGCCCCTTATCCACATAAGAAATACCAGAGAAGAAGCAAGTCCAGTGTAAAGGGCATGAGTTCAGTTCTAGATGTGCTGAGTCTTCGTTGATGGGACTAGGTAAAGATGACAGGTCTGAAGCACAGGAGAAGTCTGGCTCAAAACAGATGCAGTATATACATATGTGTGTGTTCTAGGCAATATATAATATATAGTATGTAATAGATAATACAGCAAAACACAGTAAAACAGAGAGAAGACAAGTGCTGTGTTACAGATGGTAAATGACTGTAGTAAATGCCACAACCAAATTAAAAAGTAATGGGGTTCATTTTACTCTTTAGCTGCTGCTGTTGAATTTAAATAAAGGGAGATGAAAATCAAAAGCCAGTCCTGGACCCAGGACAGGGTACCACCACTGCATCTGTCAAATACGGAACATCAACAGGGCACATAGAGAAACCACAGGCCAACCCCTGACTCCTCTAAGGAGAGTGTGATCAGCTGTTTCTCCAGGAAAATCTGAAATGAAGCCAGAACCACCTGCTACACCAAACCTGGGGGAGGACTGGCTAACCGGTAATGACCAGGGAGGAACAGCGTGGAATCAGTCAGCTAGAGCGGAGATCTTTATGCTGGGAGTCTCCAATAAAAGAGGGGATCCCTGCCTGTCACTGCAGAGGGAGCGCACTGGGAGGCGGGGGAGAGGCAGGTGAAGCGTGATCTGGAGTCCCCAGCAGCCCAGACCATCATGAGAATGTGAACCCCGGCCTGCTCCTTCCTCAGAGTTCCTCCTCAAACCACACGTGTGCCCACTGTAGGGCCTTTGTGGTGGTCCTCCCAGGGTCTTTGCTCTCTCTGAGAGTTCCACTACTTCACAGGTTGAGTCAGTTCACACAAGTATGGGAACTGACTGCTAGCGGGCTTGTTAGTGGGCAGGGGAAATGCTGAAGCCTGGGCTTCACAAGCAAACACTACCTTCCACTGAGGTTTTTTTTGCATTTTGGTCCTAAGACTGTCTCCTAAATCATTTGATATCTGTAACTCTTCAGCTAAGAGCAAGATGATGCAGTCTAGGTGCAGTGCAATAGCTTGACTTTAGGAGTAAATGCTCCTGTCGTCCAGACGGTGGCTTCATGCACTTGGATGAATGTAAAGGACTGCTAGCTGGTCGGCTCCCAGAACCGCCTCAATTCCGCTCCCCCCGCCCCCCCACAATCTATCCTCTTACCAGCACATGGACCTTTTAGAAACATCAATCAGAGCACATCGTTTACCTGCTCAATCACCCCCTCCTCAAACGACTTCTCAAAGCAAAACCTGCTCTCCTTTCCTGGGACCCAGGCACCTCTGGCCTTCCCTCTGGCCATACTGGTCACCCTGTCCTCAGGACATTGAGCTGCCCCTGCCTCAAGCTTTCCTGCATGCGGTTTCCTCCGCTTGCCACTGCTTTCCCCAGACCTTGGCAGAGTTTCTCCTTCCAGTAGATAACGTTTGTGTGCTCAGACGTCCCCTTCTCAGCAAGGCCTTCTCTGACCCTGCTGTCTGAAACGGCACACTCCAACCCCTCCCTTCTTACTCTGCTTTCTTCTCTTCATATTACATACATATTTTTTAGTTGACACTCTCCCTTCATGAAGTTCAGGACACGGCATGTTCATTACTGGATCCCAACATTTAAGTATTCGTCTTTTACACATGTGCTGTAATTCCAGAGGACTGGTGGGTTATTTGGGCATGCAGAGTTGACCTAGGGAAGGCAAGGCTGTCTCGCTGTATCTCACTGTGCATACTGTTTGCTGAACCCATGGGAGGCAAGGCATGAGCAGGGAAGCCAGAAGAAAACTCGAGGAGCCACAGGACCTGTAGACACGCTGTGTTCTCTCCTCTGGTTGACCCAGAGGACACAGACCTAACGCAGCCACAAGGTAGCCACGAGGTCTTTTTCAGGTGGAGCTTATATATGCTTACAGAACAAAAGTAGCCCGTGGCCAACTGGGTACCTTGTGATAAGCAGTGCTATAAGTGATGTCAGCTGTTACATCATCATCATTTACAAAACGCGGGGCAAAACTATGCTATCCCGGCTAGTTTGCTCTTTCCCTATAGTGGCCAGTCTTCACAAGAGCCTGGCCAGTACTGACCATGAGAGGGTGCTCTCCAGGCTCCCCTTGAAGCAACCTGATGCTGGACATCTGTCCAGCCTGCACCATGGTCATCCCACCCACAGAACCCGCAGGCTCCACCACCTCTTCCCTACCCGAGCATCCATGTGCCCTGAACTAAAGGGTGAGAGCTACAACCCTTTATATCCCTCGAGCTGGGAACCATCTTATTTCTCCTCACCAGGCAGAGGAGGGCAGCGGGAAGCAAGCGGTGGGAATCCGCTTGCTGTCGTTGGACTCGACATGGTACATCAGCACATTCTGTGTAAGGGACCTCCCAGCTGGAGGACGAGAGCTTGCTCTGATGTCACCTGGTCTTCAACTGGATTAAGGAAAGCACAGAGGCAGGCTGCCCTGCTTTCTGACATATGCAGACCCACTACTAAGAGCATGCTGCAAACAGCGTCTCCCCTGGAATTCTCCAGAGCGATGTCTGGCTTTGGCGGTGAGACTGACGCTGAATTCACGCAGCACAGGACACATCACAGACGAGGCGCTGGCATTTCGTGATGTGCTCTGGCTGCTCTCACCGTTACCACCTGTCCCCTGAGGCGACTGCATCTCAGTCACCCCACACAAGAATTCCTAACTGTCTAAGGAACTAGAAACTCAAGCCACGAGAAACCGCAACACTCGCTCCAAGGGAATTCACTCCAAGGAGTCTTAAGTCATGGACTAGTTGGACCAGCGTAAGACAGCAACTTTGACAACCAAGGTTCTTAACACAGCTGGCCTACTGCCTTCCTAGAGGGAACCAGGTCTTCTCATTTGAGAGCATTTATAAAGGTCATGTCCTAGGCCTCGCCTCCTTTCAGTTATCTTCTAGAGACATTTCATTAGGCAGGTTCTACTTCCTCTACCTCCGCCTGAGGGTGGGAAACAAAAACTGTAGCCAGCTTGACTATTAGCTGAACTCTGTCACCTGTTCAAGCCCTGACACTGAAGACTATGAGGCTGCGGGCACGTCTGCAGGTGTCATTTACTCATGCAGCCTCGGTCTCTGCCCATTCATTCAGGTAACATTGGAAAGTCCTGGTGGTAGATCGGGCAAATGGAAATATATCACAATAACAGCAACATGCCCTTACAAGGCAATCCAAAAAACATAAGGGAACTTCTAGGGAATCATACAAATGTCATAACAATCATTCACTGGGTCAGAAGAGAGTAACACCTGCCCAGAAAGAGCCGCTGCTTCCCCCGGAGCTGAAACACATCTCCTTCCCAGCAGGTGTCCCCCACCCCTGTAACCTGGGTACTCACTTCCTCAAGCCTGATTCAGGTCAGGAGAATGGTCTGCAAGTGTGGGCAGGCCCAGCCCTGCCTCAGTTCCCAAGCACTTGGGAGCATCTGTAAGACCGACCCTGAGTGCCATCCTGACTGTGACGACCCGGCAAGGCCAGCATCGAGCACAGCCCTCCTGAACCACCTGCAACCCTCAGCAGGCTCTCCTGAACCTTCCAACAATCCCGACTTCCAGAGAACAGTGGGTTTCGGGCCAGTCGTGCCCAAACCGCTGTGACGGAGCTCAGTCCTTTACATTACCAAAGGGTTAGAGTCAGGGTTCCCTTTACCACTGAGATCCCTTAGTTCACTTAAAATACCACTCAATTTGAAAATATTTAATCTAACGTTAGGACTACATATCAAATATAAAAGAGACCGCTTCACATCACTTGCTTCAACCAATAAATTTAAAATTACTCTTTCGTACTACATCTGTCATTTA